TGAGAGAACCAACAGTAACAACATTGAAAAGCAAATTGAAAGGGAGAATTATATCTATCTTTAAAAAAGTATGTTTATCTTTGATAATGACAACAAATATTTGTGTATCTCTGTGTATAGGTGCATATGCACATGTGTGCACACACATGTGTAGTAAGCCAGAGACCTTGGGAGTCATCCATCAATTGCTCATCTCCTATCTTTTTAACAATTTACTTTTAATTATGTGTGTGTGTGTGTGTGTGTGTGTGTGTTTGTCTGTCTGTCTGTGTCTGTATCTCTGTGTGTATATGTGTCTGTGAATGTGTGAGTGCAGGTGCACAAGGATTTCAGAAGAGGGAGACAGATCCCTTAGATCTGGAGTTCCAGGTGGTTGGGAGACACCTGATGTGGGTGCTGGGAACTGAACTCAAGTCCTCTGCAAGAACAGTGCACTCCCTTAACCCATGAGCCATCTTTCTAGCTCCGCCACTTTTTTTTTGAGACAGCATCTCTCAGTGATCCTGGAGCTCACCAATTGTCTAGAATGGTTGACCAGTGAACCCCAAGGATCCTCTTGTCTCTGCCTCCTAAGCACTGGGATTACAGGTATACTCTTTTTGTGGGTGCTAAAGATCTAAACTCAGGTCCTCATGCTTGTGAAGCAAGGACTTTACTTACTGAGCCATGTCCCGAATCCTAGTAGATGCCTTTTAATTTATAAAATATACAAAATATTTTAAATGGTAAATAATAATAATTATTGGTAATTTTCTGTATCCCAGGAGCTATCCATTTGTTCCATTAGTTTAGTCCTTACTGTGAACCTATTGAGGTCGCTTCATTTTCACATTTTCCTTACTCTCTCCTCTCCTTTTTCCCTCCCTTCCTCCCTTTACTCCTTTTTCCCCTTTCTTTTTTTGTCTTTTTGAGACGGGGTCTCCATATAGCAAGTTAACCTGGAACTCACTATGTAGACCAAGCTGGCCTCTATCCCACAGAGATCCACCTGCCTCTGCCTCCAAAGGGCTGGGATTAAAGGCATGTGCCCCCACACCCGGCTTTCCCCCTTTCTTTAAAGAATATATAACAGAGATCTAGAGAAGTCATATACCTAGACCTAGGTTGTAAACCTGAGTTTATAAGTTGCAAAGCTGGAAGTCAAATCCTTGTTTGACTAAAAACCTGATCTCTTTAACTCTACTATTTGATATCAGTTCTGTGTCCCCTGCTGATCATTAATATTTTAGTGTTTTTGCTTTTAATTTCTCTTCTATATGTGCATATCTGTTATATGTATGTTTTTAACAAAACTGAGATTATACTGTGTATAATGTTCATAACCTAATTTTTAAACCGAATGTTACATTGCTACATTTCTTACATCATCACAGCGACTTCTAAAGTATAATTGTCAGTGATTCCATGATAGTCATCCTATGCTCTGTTACAGGCAAATGAAGAACTGCATAGCACCAGATCTCATGACTTTTTTATGTTAATAAAGTTCTTAGGAATATAGATTGTTACAACCTTTCTGAATGTCAATTTGGTAATAGATCATGAACCTTAGAAAGTTCTTGTCTTTATAAGCTCACTTATAGAAATTTACTCAAAGGAAATAAACAAGATTGCACTCAAGGATTTATGAATGAGAATGTTTATCACAGTAGCTGTAAACCGTTATGTGCATGGAAGAAAGATGAGAATAAGGAATGGTTGGCAGTTGCTGAGCTGAGGATGATGTTTATTAAACACATCTGAAATTCCTGTATGTATGACTTCTGTAAATTTGAAAAAAGAACTATTTGAAAACTTGTTGGTAATTTTTTGTGAATTCTAACTCGTCCGTTGTTGAATCCTTATCTTCTATGCAAAGCTTGATTAAAACGGTCTGTGCACCCACTCTTTCCAATGGTGTCTGGATTAAGCTGAAATTAAACGTCACCTTATTGTCTTCTCGTTACCCCTTTAATCCAAAACTACTAATGGCTGTACTCTACCAGTTCTCTGATTAATCCTAAATTTACCAGAGAGAGAAGGCATGAATTTACTTCTCTGATTGCTTGTTTTAAGGATACCCAGTTTCTCTCATTAGGATATTAAAGAAATACTTAAATAGACCTAATTTTTCCAATCAGATGGAATATTTTTTCCTCATCTTAAAATATTTCTTGGGCCATCAAAATAGTTTGGTGGGCAAAAGCACTTACCACGCAAACCTGGTGACCTGAGTTTGATCCTAGGAGTCCATGGTAAGATGAAATAACTGACTCCCAAAAGTTGTCCTCTGACTTCCACACTTGCACACATGACATGCATATACACACATACACTAATAAGTGCAATTTTTTTTTGGCCTTTTTTGAGACAGGGTCTCCCTGTAGCCCCAACTGTCCTGGAACTCGCTATGTAGACCAGGCTGGCCTTGAACTCACAGAGATCCACCTGCCTCTGCCTCCCAAGTGCTGGGATTAAAGGCATACACCACCATGCCCAGGCATAAATGCAATTTTTAAAAATTAAATTTCTTTCTTATAACCAGAAAATTTAGACCTAGCTAACAGTTTCAATCGTGAGTAAAAGCGTTCTGGAAATGCAGGCAATGATAGGTGTTTGGCTTGAGTCCGAAATGTCTCCTACAGGCTCATGTGTTTATGCACTTGGTCCTCAGCATATGCTGTTGATTGGGAAGGCTGGGCCCTACCTAGTGTCAATGGGTCACTGTGAGTGGGCTATTATGGCTATACCTGCTTCTGGTCCCGCCAAGATGTGAGGAGCTGACACCTCATGTTCCTGCCTGTATGGATGAAGCCACTCCAGCTACCACACCTTTCCTTCCACGGCAGCTGTTTTCTCTGAAATCGTGAGCCAGACAAATATCTCCTCCCTTACGTTGCTGATTATTTGTCTTTTAATTTATTTTCTATATGTCCATATATATGCACGTGTATGTTTGGGTTTTTTGAACAGAGCAAAAGAAAAGTAACTGATACAATATGTTGGCTGCTATCTTCAGCAATCCTCTTCTCTTAGGACCCAGTTTTTTCATCTGTGAGAATGAAGACTTAAAAGTCATGAGCTGTAAAGTCCTTGCTTTGTCTTAATCCTTCGGTGAAAAATAGAATAGTGAAAGACTGGATCGTATTCTTTACTAGTCTCAATTCTAACGGAAGATGTAAAGATACAAATTCTTGAGGTTGAAGAGATTGCTCAGTGGTTAAGAGCCCTGACTATTCTTGCAGAGGACTGGAGTTTGGTTCCCAGCACCCAGGTCAGGCAGCTCACAACCTCCTGTAACTCCAGCTCTCAGGGCATCCAACACCCCTTTCTAGTCCCTGCAGGCACACACACACACATAAAGATTTTACCAAGTATTTTAAAAAGATAAAAAATTCTCTGAGTGGGGTCCTAAGGGGCCTTCAGTGTGGTGGCTTAGTACAGTCCTGAAGAAAGATGCTGGACTTGAAACTATGTGGCCCTGAAAGTGATTGTCATTTGTTAGCCTTAAGCAGGTTAGTGAACTCTAGGCTGCTTTTCAGAGTTTCTGTGTCCTGGTATTCAGAGGTTTCTGTGAAGCGGTTAGATGTGGACTTCGTTCTCCTTACCCTGACTGGGGGTGGTTGGAATTTATGAATCTATCTGCACAGTATCCTTTGTTCATTTTAGAAAAGTTCCAGCAATTCAGTATTCAAATACTTCCTCCAAAAGCAACACAGAAAGCCCTCTGGGAATGTCTTTAAACTATATCAAGAAAGAAAAGCCATGAACAAATGTGGCAGTTTTATAACCGGTATCTGGAGGGTGGACATGCAGGTTTTATAGCATATTCTTTGCTTTTTTCCTTCATGTATGCTTAAATAACTTTATCATAAAAATAAAGAGACCTGAGAGGAACCATAGCCACAGTTTCCTTCAGAAGCTTCCACGACCTTCTCTCTCTAGCCTCCTGCCTCCTAATGTTCTTATTTCCTGTGTTTTTATCTCTCATGTGACACTCTGGATAATTTAATCTAGTCTATTTTTAGCTCAATTATTCTGCCTTCAATTATATTTAATATATTATTGAGTACTTAATTTTAGCTATTATAATTTTTATTTATAGAGACTCTGGTTCTCTTAAAATATGTTAGATTTTTTGTACTTTCTTGTTCCTTATTAGTGTTCTCTAATTATAGATGAATTCTCCGCAGGGATTTTTTTATCTCTTTTTGAGACGGGGTCTCACTATATAGCCTTGGCTGACCTGGAACTCAAGATGTAGATCAGGCTGTCCTTGAACTGTTTGCCTCTACCTCCTGAGTGCTGGGACTAAAGGCACATGCCATCACGCCCAACTGTAGGGAGTTTAAAAAACATTCTTCCTTTTCTAGCAAGCATCATTTTTTTTTAAGTCTAGTTGTTTTATAGCCTTGACTTCATAATTTTAACATCAGAAATCAGTTAAAATCTGGTTATTGTTCGTTCTATAGTTTCTAAATGTTCTTGCTGTGATTTCATACATGCATTATTATTTTTTTACTGTGTGATACTCATTTGCTTGAAAAAATAATATTCAGGTTTGGGCCTGGTAAGGCAAGCTTATAACTAGCTTCTTAGAAAGCTGAGGCAGGAGGTTTGAAAGCTTAAGGCCAGCCTGGGAAATGTAGTTAAGCTCTGTCTCAAAATAAAAAAAAGTAAAGAGAGCTGGGATTATAGCTCAGTGGTAGAACACTTGCATAGGTTCAATCCCTGTAAACACACACACAAACACACACACACACACACACACACACACACACACACAATTATATTCCCTTTCAGCAGTCCTAAAACATCAACTTTCGGAAATTTTGTCATCTTGAATGAAAACATTTTCCTAAAGAGGAGATGCATTTTATTATACCAGGTGTTCAAAGACACTGACAAATAAATTCAGTAGTTGCAATTTTTTGAACCAATCAAATATAGCAATATGAATGTTGACTGCAAATTCTCACAGGGGCTAACTTGTTAAAAATGCTTTATCTTTCCCTCTCTAGTTCAGCAAAAAGGCAACGTTCTTGTAGTCTCTGGGGCTTGGAAGAGGCATGACCCTTCGGCATTCTATCTTCATTGGGGTGAGTGATTCCTTGGGGAGTCAGTCTTGGGAAGGACACAGGCTTTGATTACACCTTTCTCTGCCATTGTAGGCCATCAACACTGAAGGGAAAAAGCAGCCTTAGTGCTTTCTCTTACTTTTGTGGAAAAAAATGGGTAGTAACTCCTTGAAGTCTTATTTCTTCAAGTGCAAGATGATCCTAATATTACCTTACAAAGTTATAAATATCAAACAAGGGGCTTGGGATAATGGCTTAATGGTTAAGAGCACTGACTGCCCTTGCAGAGGACCAGGGTTCGATTCCTAGCACCCACATGGGGGCTAACAACTGTTTGTAACTCAGTTCCAGGGGAATCAGACCCCTTCTTCTGACCTCTGAAGGCAATGTATGGCACTGGGCACTTACATACATGCAGGCAATACACTCATACAGAAAAATAAAAATAATAAATAAAAATATAAAAATAAATATCAAATAATATACAAAAATCCCTTTGTAAATCGTAAGCCACACTATACTGTAACCTTGGACGCTTAGGGTACATACCTCCTCAAATTGCTTATTTGCATGTAAACACATTTCTCTGTGTGCGTGTTAGAAAGTGTCTATATATTTCATAGGATTTTCTAAGGACTCAGGATGATCAATATAATTTTAAAAGAAATTGAAAGTGGAAATTATTATTAGAAATCCGGCAAGTACAGGACAAGGGCAGAAAACTGCCTGGTATTTATTCGTATAAACATTCCTGAACTTTGAAACCTTCTCCAATGACCAAACTAACGATTATTTGCTCAATAAAATCTTTTTCCTCCTCTGTTCTCTTCAAAGCTATAATTTTGTGTGTACGAAGTTCAAGGGTAAGATGGGAAAACTACACAATCCAAATTAAGTACTTTGGTTGGTCCTGGTTCACGCTTAACATCCCTCAGGAAGAGCATTTTGTTTCTTTTGTAATTTCTTCCTTGCAGATTTTCATTCATGGGTGCAAAGACTCAGAACAGTAGGACTTCCTGGATGGCAGATCAGCTCACTCACCCTCCTTACTTTATATTTAAGAACACTGAGGAAAGGACAAAGATAATCATAGGCATATGAATGTTGCCAATATTTCAGAGCCTTTCTCCTAATTAAAATATTACCTTTGCGTGATTGTTTGAGATGTTCTGTATGAAATACACAAAAATTCAATAAAAACAAATTAAAAAAATAGTAGTGAGCAGTCTGAAATTTTGTCCCCTTTGCTGTAAGCATTGCCAGTATTGTCCTTCAAGTCCTGGTTAAAGATTTTCTCTTCTGTGAAGCTTTTCTGGCCCAGATGAGGTGATCTGTCTGAACATCCACATCCCATGGCACATGTGTGCAGGTCAAAGCACAACTTGGGAGTCAGTTCCCTCCTTCTGCTCTGGGGGTCCCAGTAATAGAACTCAGGTCACCAAGTTTGGTGGCAGGCCTTTACCCACTAAGCCATTCACTGACCCTCTAGGTATCTTTGATTGGCATTTCTGCTAACACCCTGATCTCCTGTTGATATATTCTCAGCAGCCAGAGACTCTTTTGATTATGCTTAAAACTCCACATTAAAACTCAGGATTTCCACTTTTGGCATTGTGGCAAAGCTCCTTACAAGGAGCTTTATAGAAGAAACCATTCTTCAGAGAAGCAGATAGAACTAATAAACAGTCTATGAGAGTGCCCACCCAATTTCCTAAGGGTCTATAGTAAACAAAGATGCATTTATTAAGAAAATCTGCTAGGTCTTGGGAAGAAAAGCAGGAGGCTTTGGCACAGACTGCTCCTTCCATCGTTCCTTCCCATGTGGACAGGAGCCCGAGTTTGGTCAAATATCCCTAAGAAAATGGAACTCCTCTCCCCTCAGCTCCCAGTCAAGGAATATAATGCATTTGTGACCCCACACCTCTGAACTGCAGAGGCTGTTTCTGAAGGTCTGAGAGACTAAGACATCAGAGGCTCCCTTCTTCCCTTCCTACACCCTTCATAGGCTATATAGAGGCTCTGTCCTAGGCACAGAAGGCCTATGGGGTCTCTGGAGTAACTAGCCCAGCTCACCTGTAGGGTGGCTTCAAAGAAGGAGAAGCAAAACAAGACCAGAACCTACCACTGCCATACTGCATCCTGGGCATGAAGTAGAGATCCAAGAGAAGCAGGCTCCAGTCCCTGGACCACTTTCAGAGCAGTAGCTCAGGGATTTTTCCCTGGTCCCAAAGAAAAGAAAGCTCTGAGGAAGCTTTCTCCAAGAAACTGGCTTTATTTGAAACAGTGTATAGGAAAATTCAGGTCTAAAGAATATTGCAAAATCTGGAAAATTTGGTAGTAAGCAGTTGAAAGAAGTTTGATGGTTCTATTATGATGTGATTCACCATAGAAGACCATTAGGATGAATAAGTGCCAAAAAGCAAAGTCTTTATTAGCCAGCTGGTGACAACACTGGGCATTTGGGTCCCACGTGCAGCCCCAAGCCATCTCTAGGGTAAGCTTTTTAAAAAAATTTTTTTATTGAATTTTTGATTTCATATATAAAATCATCTTTATATCCCCTTCCCCTTTGGCACCTTCCCATAGTGCCCCCCCCCCACTGGAGTTCATACATTCTGTCATTTTTGTTAAGGCCTTATACAGAAAAAAACACAACCAGGGGTGAAAATTTTAAGATTCCAAGCTTACAGATGAAAAGCCCCCTTAACAATTTCTATTCTATTAAACAATTACTATTTGCAAAAGCAAGCCAATCATAACGTACAGAAACCATAAATCTGCAGTTAGCAGGTGCACTCCGGGACACGTTGACCTGTTCCGAAGACAACCTAGGGTCTTGCTGACCTGTGTTCTTATACCCTGCGCAAACTACCTGGTGGTTTCAAAGGCTAGAGTCAGCCTAAACTTCAACATGGCATAACTATGGTCAAGAAAGTGCCATATCACAGTTCCATAAGGCAGAAAACTAATCCATGGGCCAAATAGTTTATGAGAGAACGGGGGAGAGAGACAGCTAAGAAGAACCCTCGTGGGGTCAAAACAAACTTTAGATGCTGGGCTCAGAAACTACCCATGAGGATGAAATTTAATTGGATCAGATTTTGAGGCAAGCTATGTTCCAGGGCATTGTCAAAAACAATAAGACAATTAGTGGAGTCTAACAAAGGCAGGCAGCGTAACAGACAGATCAGAGAATGAGACAAAAAGCCTTCCTGAAACTACTGCCATGCTTGGTGACCACATGTGTGCACCGCTCTGTGTCCTCTGAGTAGTGGCATCAGGGTTTCACACTACGAGTGAGACAGACTTCATTAAAACAACCCAGCCATGTCACTAAACTAATAAATTAGCAAACAATGACAGAAACAAGCCCTGGATGGGGTGGGGATAAATTGTTTGAAGTTGACAAAGTAGTACTAAAATGTCCTTTCAAAGACATCCAAAGAGACAGAAGAATGTCGTCCATAAACGAAGTAATGTAGGAGAAGCTGCCTTGACCAGGCTGGTTCAGATGTCAGATTTGATTTGAAAAATGGTCACCAGACATCATAAATACATTCAAAGAACTGGAGGAAAACATGCTTAATAAAGCAAACGAAGAAAGGTATGGTAACGTGTCACCAAAGAGAATATCAGTACAGAGATAGAAATTATTTTCTAATTTTATTTATTATTTTTATGTGTATGAGTATATTGCCTGCATGTATGTAAGTGAACCTGTGTCATGCAATGCCCACAGAGGTCAGAAGAGGGTGTCAGATCCCCTGGAACTGGACTTACAGAATGCTGTTAGCTACCATGTGGGTGCTGGGAATTGAACCCCAGGCCTCTAGGAAGAGCAGCCAGTGCTCTTAATGATTAAGCCATCTCTCCAGCCACAGAAACTATTTTTTTAAAAGCACTAAATGAAATATTGGAATTTCTGGATCTGGAAAGTATAGTAACAAACTAGAATCTCACTAGTGGGGTTTAATAGCCCATTAACATGTGATTAGAACTGGACTAAGAAAGAATTAGCAAACTCGAAGAAGGGATGAAAGGATAATAGAGGTTATATAACTAAAAAAAGAAAGGAGGGGAATACAAAACCAAAACCCAAAATCCGGATGCTCAGAGAAATCTGTAACCCCAGAAACTGAACAGGCTTGGGGTAGAACAAAGGCAGAGATCCACATCCAGACCCATCAGAGTAAAAGTGTTGAAAAAAATTTTCAAAGAAAAAACTTTAAAAGCAGTAAGAAAAAAAAAGGACTCATATACAAGAGGACTGTAATAAGATTAAAAGTTGATTTTTTTTTCATCAAAACGAATGGAGACCAAGAGGCAATGTGATCAAATATTCAAAGTGCTGGAAGAATAAAAGCCAGTCAAAAACATCAGAAGAACTCCAGATCACTCCTTGGCCTTTTGAATAAGACCAACCCCTGAAAACCTTTTCAGTAACTTCTAACTAATTAGAGTAGTGTCAGAATTATTTATCATGGTCAGCACAGACTGTCTATTTCTCTACCTTTTTGAAGTATGCTTCCCTCATGAACTGGATCGTACCAGCATTCTTTCCACCTATCCCCTCCTGCCCTTGGCCCCTTTAAACAGGTTGCTTTAGTATCTAGAACTCTCTTAACTTATTCTAATTAAATCTTGCCTTTCCATCTCTGCTCAAACTTGGTTTTCTTGGGGAAGCTTTCTCCAGTCTCCCTTCTTGGATAGGATACTACATATTACCATGCATTTCTCTTTCAGGTTCTTGAAATTTTTCAGGGTTGGTGTATTTGATGAAAAGGACTGTGTTATAGATTCTATAAGGAAATGGATGTGTGCCTGTGTTTTGCTTTAGGTTAAGAGAACTGAAAGAGTTTGTCAGAGGAATGGTGTGATGGGTCAGATTAGCATGAGGCTACACTGGATGCACAAAGACCAGGAAGGAAGTGGGTGTCAGTATTCTAGAAGAGGACTGATCAATGTGTTGAGACCAGGTCAGGAATGAAAGGCAAAGTATACCAACTAGAGGGGTGAACTCAGAGCAGATGGGGCAGTTGTTAGTGGATGGGCTGCTAGGTTTGTGCACAATGTAATACGGTTTAGGGCACGGAAAGAAGTGAGACTGAGAGTGGGGCTGGGGGTGGACTAACTCAGAACTGTTGAGTTTGAGGTACCAAAGAGACCTCTGACAGTGATTTTAGATAAGCAACTGGACACAGGATTCTGGAACTCCAGCTGGTGGTGCAGATCTCCAAAGGAAACCCGAGGCAAACGTGTGTGCCTAGAGGGCTCTGCTCCTCCTTTGCACACAGGGTGTCGCCACTCCTTTCATCCTCCTGGCTGCAGTTCTGCTCTGCTCCAAACTGATAAAGGCTTGAAAAGCACCCCCCAAACTCCTCCAGCTGGTCCTACCTTCTCTAAACCCCATCCTGCAGGAGGGGGTGTATCTGGGCTCCCCAGGGATTCTCTTATACTAGGCTGGCCCCAAGAAGAAAAACTGTTTCTGAGAGTTAATGAAAAGCTCCTTTTGTGTCTCTTAGTTTAATTTGATCCTCTCAGCCCAAATCCCAGAGGAGGTATGTGTGCTGAATTCTGAGGGTGAAGGCGTATTTTTCTGCTTGTGGGTTAGTTCTCAAAGGTCAGACAGTAGGCCTTAGTCATGCTAATAGGATATAACATTTCATGGAATGAGATTTTTTTTCCAGTTTAAAGGAATTTTAGAAATATTCTCAGTGAAGCCTTTGTCTCCAAATCATAGTAATAATTACTGGCAAAGTCAGAACTTGAACTCAAGTCTGACAGGAAGCCCAATGCTAGGGCAGGAGAGATGGCTCAGTAGGTAAAAGTGCTCTAGCTTCCCAAGTCTGATGACTCAAGTTCAAATCCTAGAGCCACTGTAAAAATCTGGATGTGGTGCAGGGATCTGTAATCCCAGCACTCCTGTTGCAAGATGGAAGGCGGAGACAGGGGACTCACAGGGACACTGGCAGGCCAGCTAGTCTGAAGTACGCAGAGAAACAGCAGAAACAACAGAGACCTGCCTCAAACAAGGTGGAAAGTG